TCAGCAACCTCATCTCCCTTAACTCTCCTAAATGACGCTTCCTTTATCCAGGCTGGTTTACTCACTGACCTCAGAATATGCTTTATTTTTCTTTTCTCTATTACTGCTTAGGTCATACCTGTCCCTGTTCCTAGTATTAGCCTAAAGCCTGTCCATAAGACCAACATAAGTTCCACCTTCTTGTAATTGATCAGTCTGGCCCTTATCATGCCTCCAGTCTTTGAACTTTCCCAGCAGAGGGTCAGATTAACACACTCTCCTCCACACTTTCTTTGCCCTCCCACTACATACATGCTCATCCTAGACCTTAACCATCTACACCTTTGCACTGATTTAACTTTTTACATGTGAATGTCATGTCTCCATTAGAACAGAGATTCCATGAGGACTAGGCTTCATTTATCAAGAGAAAAGAGGGCAAGGATACAGCACTTTAATGTCAGATCTATTTAGTACATGATGGAACAGATCAGAAAACTGTTAGCAACAGTCTCAGGGTTAAATGCAAATCACATGACAGGTCTGTAGGGGCTTAAATGCTTGGACTTAACGGTGTTTCTTGTTTTTAGATTCTCACTTTGATATGCCCTTAGCTCTACCAACAGCAAACTGTAAAAACTTTCCATTGTGGAATGCAAACTGATGCAGCCACTATGGAAAACAGTATGGAGATTTCTCAAAAGACTAAAAACAGAAATACCATACGACCCAGCTATCCCACTACTGGGTGTCTAGCCAAAGAACCTGAAATCAACAATCCAGACAGAGTGACTTATGCACCCCTATGTTCACTGCAGCATTATTCAGAATAGCCAAGATGTGGAAGCAACCCAAGTGCCCACTGACTGATGACTGGATAAAGGAGATACAGTATATATATACAATGGAATACTTCTAAGCCATAAAAAATGACAAAATTGTCCCATTCACAACAACATGGATGGACCTTGAGGGTATTATGTTAAGTGAAATAAACCAGACAGAGAAAGACAAACACTTTATGATTTCACTCATACGTGGAAAATAAACAAACACATGGACAAAGAGAACTATTTAGTGGTTACCAGGGAGAAGGGGGGTCAGGGGGTGGGCACAAAGGGTGAAGTGATGCACCTATATGGTGACTGACAAATGATAATGTACAACTGAAATTTCACAATGTTGTAAACTATCATAGCCTCAATAAAAAAATAATAATTTGGGGGGGGGGGATGATCAAAAAAACCAAAAATAAAACGGCATAACAAGAAGTCAAAAAAAAATTTTTTTTTTTGATAGTGATTACTTGCTGAAATTGATTACATACTGAAATATTTTGGATCTTTAGGGTTAAAGAAAAGTTGTTAAAGGTAAAAAATCAAAAACTTTCCATTGTAGATTGTCTTAATCATTTAAGATGTCTCAAATCCTTCTGGGAATAAGCCATGATATAACAAAATAAAGGTCAGGTGAAAGCTTGGCAGTCAAGTCCTTAGACATGGCTATCATACCGGGAGGTAGTATACAAAGTAACTAGCACAGTGCCAGAAAGATAATACTTCCTTAATTACTCATTATTAAAACATTGTACCAACCCATTATCCTCTGCAACTGCTTTAAAGAAAGTAGAAAAACACAGATTCTTTTCCCTTTTTAGACAGTATACCAGGAGCAACTTCCTGAACCCCATTGAGGCCTCAGTCCTGAAGAAGGAATCCTAATCCTAATACCCAATGTGTACTGGGGTTGTCTTTTTGGACAATCTCTACATGTTAAGAGTGAAAAAAAGCTAGATTAGATTCTTGTCATACTTCTTAGAGTAATTGAGTCTTTCCAAAATCAAGAACTCTCAATGTGATACAGGAAAAAGTGGGAGGCTTAGAGACTGCAATCAAGCTGGACTCCCACAGAAAGAAAAGAGATAAATACTGTCCCATAAAGGATAAAAGGTGAACTCTTCAAACTCCTAAAGGCATTTGAGATTGTGACCACTGCCTCTGATGATTCTTCAGACCACCCACTTTCAGTCCAAAATGGCAGGAATGATAAAATAACACAAAGAACGGGCCAAAGAATCATGAACTCTTGGAAGTGGAAGAAACCTCCAAAGTCATCCAGCCTAAGCCTCTCCTTACACAGTTGAGGAAGTAGGCATAAGCGAGATGCCAAGCTACATGCCAAGTCTGTTTCTGCCTCCCCAGATACTCACTTCATTGTCATAATTTCCCCAAGATTTTATTTTTTCCCTTGCAGTAAGCAAGATGAGAGAGAATAGGCTCATTTGCCTTGCAAAACGGGCCCCCAAACTGGAAATATCTAAGACTCTTGCCTCTGACAGAACACTGGCACAAAAAAGTAAAAGTATATGAATTCTTGCGGTTACCTGATTAAACTAGCAAGTCCCTGCATAGGAAGCTGTATACAGACAAAGAGTGACAATGCTGACTACAAACAGAAATACATACTTAGAACTGGAAGCTTTTCATGTTTCTTCTATAGAAAGAAAGATCTCTATGGGACGACCAAAATTATTGGAAGTTTCTAGTGGTGATAACCGCTTCTTACCTGTGTATCTTCATGATGACACACTGAAGAAAAGCTGAATTAGACCCTGTGACTTCTTAGGAGTCCCACATATCAGGGCATTAGCTCTGGGAGGTGACAAACAGAAACTTGAACCCTTTTCTTGTTAACTGAACCAACCAAAGTTCTAATGACTGTTTTTACCCAAGTTCAATCCTAAATTTGTGTTCTACTCTCCTAAACTCTAAGTTTATCAACTTATATGAGTAAGACAGGACAATGCTTAGGAAAATTAAAGAAGCCACTTGGTGAATAAATCCATTCATGTGGAATAAATGCACATACAACACAGAAATTAAACCACTTTTGGGGGAAACATAATAGTTAGGTATAATTATTCTTCTTCATCAGTCCCTTGAAGTTTGTCCTAACTCCAGTGATTCAGAAAAATGAGAACACTAGGAACTTCACGTCCGCAAGATCAACAACATCAGAAATTTTAGTGAATGGTGAGCCAAACATTAAGCAACAGATTATGCAAATACTCAAAAAGCTGAAGTGATATTATACTGAACTTTAAATGTATTTAGTGACTAGAATGCGCAAGATAATGTCAGAGTTCTGCTCTGCTCTGTCAGGAGATCCTGGAAACACTACAGGTGCTGCAGCAAAAGGACAATGTCAAAGTACATTAAATTCTTAAGCAAGGGGACAAGAATCAAACCTCAAACCATATCACAAGAGAGTTAATGTAATAACTAGCGAGATTAAAGCTATAGAAGGAAGAGACAAGACGAGAAGAACAATTAGATGCCTTTAAATACTTGCCGGGCATCAGGAAAGGAACTACCGTTGTTTTAATTGCCCCTGAGAAGAACAAGTACTCAGGAATGAAAAGTACAGAAAAACAGATTTTGCTTTAACAATAATTTTCCACGTTAGCCTCAAAATTCAATAAATATTAAGAGTGAGAGAAGGAAAAATCTACATAAAATAGGAAGAGAGAATCGAAGAGACTTGGGCATACTGAATGAGCTTTTGACAAAAGTTTAGGAGCTTATATGGAGCATGACACTAAACCATGCAGATTAGCAATGAATTATAGTCTCATAAATAAAGTTGGCTTCCAGTGTTTTATAACACAAAAGAAGACAAAAAGTATAGATGATTCTGAAAGCCATATTTTATGAAGAATAATCCATGAGCGGTGGTCAAGCTATTGCAAAATTCCAGATGAGAAAAGACGACGGACTGTTCTAGGCAGTGGTGATGGGAACAGAAAGGAATGGAAGGCTTACAGAGTAGAGAGCTCACAGTACTTGATGACTTATTGGAGACTCTTGGAATAACAATATTTAGCAGGATTTACCATGTTAATCTAGCCATTCAGCTATTTACAGTAACAACAAAGCAGCAAACACATACAGAGTACTTACCATATCAGGCAATGCTCTAAATGTTTTACATAGGTTCATTCATTTCATTCTCAGGATTCTATGAAATGTATTCTATCATCATGCACATTTTACGATGAGAAACTAAGGCTAACATCAGTAAAGTCAGTCAGCCAATAAATATCAAAGAACTAGTGAGAGATTAGGTACCAGGCTCGGACCTACATAATCCCAAAGCTAAAGGTCTTCATCGATACACTAGACAGCTGTAAAGAAAAGGCGACAAAATCCAAAGCAGGCAGCATGCAGCAATGTTAAAGACCCCAGTCGACAGAAAAGCGTCAGTGGGGAAGAGGACCGAGGGGTAAGTGAGGATTTGGCGGTATCAGGATCACGGGATGCACTTGCTTAAAAAAGAAATAAACAAACAAACCAAACAAAAACCCTGCATTGAATCCAAATTCCTAGAGATGGGACCTAGGAACTAACTTTTTAAAAGCAAAACCAAAAAACCCCGGGTAATTTTTAGGCAGACCCAGATTGGGGAACTCCTGTAATAGATCTCTAAGTTCTCTTTCTGCTTTAACATTCTAGTTGACACGCTAAATGAACTTCCCAGAAATGAAAGGAAGGAAGGTGGGTACAGCAGCAAGAAAACGGCTATGCATTTACAGTTCACACCATTCATGCTCCCTATGCGTTTACAGTTCACACCACTTATGCCCCCACTTTTACTAAAGTCTCTCACAGGAACACGGATAGAGCAGGCAGTGGAAGGAGGGGTGGGGTGTTCACGGTACTCTAGGTAAAAAGCAGGCTTTTGTCCAGGATTTTCTAGTAACAGTAGCACAAAGAAACCCTTCCTAACTACAAATACATGTGGTGATCGACTGCAAAACGAGGTGGATCCCTCCGATGATCCGTGTCTGGCTAACGATGGATGCCAATATATCCTTCTACGTGCTCACAAGCGTTGCAGGAAACCACGAGATTGCGGCCTGCCTGCTCGGAGTCCAAAAGAATCTGGCTCAGCACCAGAAGCGTCTGCTCTGCAATTACACCCTCCAGTACCCTACTCCCAGAGGTGACCTGTTCCGCACATACCTGAGGGTCCTCGGGTAAGATTTATCTCTTCCTCGGTGACCAAATAATCCACCCTTCCGTTCATGTTTTACAGCTTGTCTGCTTCCCAGGGTCAACTACGACTCACACAGGTAGAGGTGAACCAACCTCCGCGCGGGCGCCCAACGCACAACACTTTCGGTTTCTGCGGACCCCGGACCGGAAGAGGAAGTCGGGAGCGCTGGACGCGCCAGGAATGCTGGGAGTTGTGGTTCTGGACGCCGACGTGCTGCTTTATCTTACTCGCTCCTCAAAGCAACGTGTGAGATGAGCTAGCAGGAAGTTACCATTCTAATTTACCATTGGGGGAGGGGTTGGGGGTGGGGGATAGTAAAGGTAAGAGAGATAAATGATATTGTAGAGGAAAAATTGAAAATAAAATCTGCCCTCTCAGAAAATCTCCACAAATGTAGAAAAGGAAAAAAAAAAAAGAGAATTGTATTATTCAGTAAGCATTAAACCAGAGTGGGATGGGCGTCACAGGCAATCCGCTAATGAGATTGCAAAGATACAGAAATCTCACCTTTTTACATAGCCGGGCAGATAACATCGGTTACATGCATGTTCTTGTGTAAGAGGACTTAACACCGTTTGCTTTGGTAGGTCACCCTGGGTGTGGCCATCTGTGTTAGTTAATTGCCTTATCTCAAGGGAAAATAAAACTTGTCCATCTCCACAACAAGCGCGTGCTTGAGGCTTGGAGCAAGGCACCTAGGGTAACTCCTGTGGTGACAGGGAGATGGGGCACTAACTTCCTTGGTTATTTACGTTTCAAAGAGTTGGCTCCCAGGACCTTACAAAAAATTTTCCTGGGTTGTAACCTTGTTATTCCAATATCAGACCCAGATGTATTATCATAGCTTCTTAAATGTGCTATTTTTTCCTTTTGGAGAGAGTTTGCCTGCCTGACGTCTTAAGTCATCCTTCCACAGACTTCTTTTGTAACAATTGATATGGACATGATCTTTTTATGACCTTATGAAATGAATCTTCAATTTTTTTTATTTAAAAAAAACGGTTAGCTGCCTACGTAAGTATTCTGTTTCTCTCCTATATAATCCTTCATAATGTCTCTGAATTGGTCCACTTTTCTTTTTTTAGTCACCTAACTGAATTGTTTGTTAAGAAGTTAATAAAATTTGACATGCGCTTGAGATAAATTTGTCTAAGAAACTTTTGACTAGTCTCATAGTCCCTACAGTTAAGACATTCAGAAAAAATATCTGTTCCTATTACTTTATTCTCTGTTTAGGTGAATCATGTCTCTATACACCCAGCAACTTAAGCACAAAACCAGGGAGATAGTCCAGACTCTCTCTCTCTCTCTAATTTCCTTCCTTCCGCATTCCCTCCGTCAATCAATCAGTAAGTCCTAGTGCTTAAGTATCGAAACTATTTCTTCCTCTCTGTTTTTAAATTAATTTCTTTAGTTAATATCCTTGAAATCTTATCTGCATTGTTTTAGGAACCTCTTAAATGGTTTCTTTGACTATAGTCTCATACTCCTTAAATTCATCCTCCGCATGTTCCCAGGTTATCTTTTCTAGAATCCAAATTTTATGCTATTACTCTCCTGTTTAAAATCCATCAGTGTCTTCTCTTAGCCTCCAGGTAAAAGCCAAATTTCTTAGTAGGGCACACAGTAATTCATGATCTGGCTTTCCTGACCTTTATGTTTCTTTCTAACATTTTCTTGCTATAAAAGTGTAAATTGGATTATGTTATGTCCCTGCTCAAAACCCTTCAATAGCTATCCATTTCACAAGAAAAGCCAAAGGCTTAATGATGCCTATAGGGCCTATATGATCTGGTCCCTTTTTAGCTCTTTAGCTCATCTACTACCACAGTCTCTCCCTCTTCCTACCATCCCAATCCTCTCCAACCCTCCCCCCTTCTCCCCCCCCCCCCCCCCCCCCCCCAATTTTGCAGCCACACTGGTCTACTCTCTACATGTTCTTGCTTTCAGCCAAAGCACTCACTGGGTCATCTGCTACCAGACCTTCACATGCCTGACTTCTTGTTCACATCTCAAGTAAAATGTTGTCTCCTTAGTGAGGCATTCCTAACCACTAAATACTGAACATTAGGCCTTTCTTCTTTACTGTAGAATTTATCACTACATCTCAAATTATCTTGTTCATCTATATGTTTACTTATTTATCTTCACTCTCCTTCTCAATACAATCTAAGTTCATATCAAGCCATACTCAATTATAAGCAGTTTCTCACATTTGGCATAGTAGTTAAAATTCTTTGCCTTTGCATATTCTATTTATTCCCTGTACCCTGATTATTCTTCTAGCCTTTCTTCTTGGATAATTTCAGTTTATCGTTACATCTTAGTAAAGAGGTTATCTCTTCCAGGCAGACTTCCCTGACAATTTCTGCCTCCCCAGGCGAGACTAGTTTAGTTGCCTTCTATCTGGGTACCTCAGATTTCTAATGTGCCTCTATCACATTGTATTAAACTATACATTTTATCTGTCCACTTACCTTAGATTTTAGATGAAGGAATTGTGTCTTTCCTATTTATTTTATTTATTTATTTTTATTTATTTATTTTGAGGAAGATTAGCCCTGAGCTAACATCTGCTGCCAATCCTTCCCTTTTTGCTAAGGAAGACTGGCCCTGAGCTAACATCCGTGCCCATCTTCCTCTACTTTATATGTCGGAGGCCTGCCACAGCATGGGCTTGCAAAGCGGTGCCATGTCTGCACCCAGGATCCAAACCAGTGAACCCCAGGCCACTGAAGCAGAATGTACGAACTTAACTGCTGTGCCACCGGGCCAGCCCCTGTGTCTTTCCTATTTATATCCCCTGTACAATGATGCATCCGTAGTGATTATTCACTAAATATTTGTTGAATAAGTAAATAACTTAAGTGTCCTGTCATTGGACCAGAGGATATTTGAGTGACAGGATCAATTTCTCAGGTAGCTATTAACTGTTATCTCTGAGCAGACTACAAGATCCCCTCTCAGTTATTCCTTCTAAACCAGCTCTCCCCTCATGCCCACTCCCCAATTATAGAGCAGCCTTTATCATCTCTTGGTTTGTTAAATTTAATTCTAGTGTCAATCTTGAAGTCCACTTTATCATTTAACTAGTGGTGGGGTGAAGTGGATTTGTTTCACTATATTATTTGATTTAATCTTCACAGTAACTTTTAGAGTAAGTACTACTGAGTCTATTTTATATATAAGGAAGCTGAGGATCAGGGAAGACTTTGACTTGCCTAAGAGTGCATGACTAGAAAGAAGCATTGTCAGAATCTGAATTTAGGGCTTAAGTGTTGATGTTCTTTCCAGTACGTCTCCCTCCCCGAGTCCCAGAGACTCTGATACAATTAGGACTCCTGGTAGCTTGCTATAATAATTCAGCGTTCAGAAATGAGCATGTAGATTCGGACCAACTACGTTAATAACCATTTCTGAATTTCAAATTCACTGCTCATAGAGCAGGTGAAATTAGAAAAATAGTAGTGATAATTACAGTAATGGTGGTGGTAATGTCATGAATTGTGCTGTGCTAAATCTGGCTGAACTTGATTACGCTAGAAACTGAGTTTCCCAGAATCCTTCTCCCTGTATGACTCTAATTAGATTTTGCTGAAAGAAAAATGTGTGCTTGGTTTGGAAGGCAGAAGTGGAGTAGTAGTTTTTGAAGGTCTTTTGCAGTTATGTATGATGATGGACAGATGCAGAGGTGACTTGTGGCTTCTAGCTTGTCCTTGTTTTCCTCTGTTCCATCGACAACTCTTCTTCCTGTCCCAGATGATCGAGTGGCCCCAGGCCTATCACCAGAAACTTGACTGGAGACACACAGAGGAACACAGGCAACAACTTCCCTTTATATTCCTACTTCGGAAGCTGGATGTGCGTGGCTTCTCAGATTGGTTGGTTGATGATCCCTTCTCTGATTCACCAGGACCCCCTCTGGACCTTCACTTCCCCACTTTCTCCACAATTGTTTAAGTTCTAATTTCTTTCTTTCTTTTTTTTTTTTTTGAGGAAGATTAACCCCGAGCTAACATCTGCCACCAATCCTCCTTTTTGCTGAGGAAGACTGGCCCTGAGCTAACATCCGTGCCCATCTTCCTCTACTTTATATGTGGGACACCTACCACAGCTTGACTTGACAAGCAGTGCCACTTCTGCACCTGGGATCCGAACCGGGGAATCCCAGGCCGCCGAAGCAGAACGTGTGAACTTAAGCTCTGCGCCACTGGGCCAGCCCAGGTCTAATTTCTTTATATGGACCCCTTATCCTAAAACACTGATAGTGATTCTGCAACCCTGATTGAGTGCTGAATGATATAGTTATTGGTACCAAAGCTTGTTCCAGAGAAATAGAATCTAAGGTGGGAATGTGCAGTTGGTTCTCCATAGCATTCAGCGGCAAAACAGTTACTTAATTTATCACCAGTGGTGACCTGGAGTCAAATATCTGCTGCCATAGAACATTTTAGTCAAAATAAAGCATTTATGAAATGTGGGGTTGGTTAGTTGCTTTATGTGCAGTAAGAGAACTTGGAGAAAGAAAATGATGAGATCAGAGTTGCAAATATTTAGCCCAAGGTCTTGGTACAAATATAAATGTGTCTATGTATCTATATCAATATATATATGTATATCTCTTTATATTTCTTTTGACAAAAAAGTAGAACTCTATTGTATATAGTAGTTTATGACTTTTTTTTTGCGTGTTTGCTTGGTTTTATTCTGGTAATAATACAACACAGGGACATTTATTCAGTTATAAAAAGTTTTTCTACGCACTGTTAAAAATAAAAAAAATAGCCAAGAACCATATGAAAAGATACTCAGACTCACCAATTAAAATAATGAGATATCTATCTTTTTTTTTTTTTTTGGTGAGGAAGATTCACCCTGACTTAACATCTGTTGCCAATCCTCTTTTTTTTGCTTGAGGAAGATTAGCCCTGAGCTAACATCTGTGCCAGTCTTCCTCTATTTTGTATGTAGGATGCTGCCACAGCATGGCTGATGAGTAGTGTATGTCCTTGCCTAGGATCTGAACCTGTGAACCCCAGGCCAGTGAAGCAGAG